AGACAGTATCCCACGGGTGATTCCCATGGAAACATTTTCTCAATTAAGAGTCCCTCTGCCCAGATACATCTAGGTTTATGTCAAGTTGACAAAGCCCAAACAGCACATCTTGCAAATCACACAGAGCCACCGGCTGCTTTTGCATGTGAGCAGATGAAGTGCCCATTTACTTACTCACAAGCATTGTCTTAGACCTTTTCTTGCCACGGCCTTGGATTCCCTATGGTTCCTGAGGTTTGTACTTTAGTGCCCCTCTGCCGGATCTACATGGTGAACTTTGTTTCTTAGTGATTTGTAGGGCTCCAAGTGCCTGTCAATAGGTGTTATAGGCACAGTGTAGGTGGGTATTTGGTATAACGAATTAAACCATGAATTTCTAGAGACTGTGGCTACCCTGTGGGTACTAGGTTGAGACTGAAGAAAGGTAGAAGGTAGAGCTCACTGAAATAAATCTGAGATAGAATTTCTGAAATCAAATGTTATGAACAAATTCACAGATGACTATGTACCCCTTGGCCCATTCCTAACCATATCTGCCTCCCGAGCAGAAGCTCATGGAAGTGTGTCTGCACTGCTCTACAGGAAGACCTGCTTGCTTTTCAGAGGCCTTCTGGAATTTCCATGTCACGAACAGATGGCACTGCTTTCGTTTGAGATGCAGAAGAATTTCCATGTATTCAAACAGCGAAAGCTTGAGGAAATACAGTATGGGTAGTAGCTAGAGTGGAGAAAGAGCATGGTATGTCAATAGAAAGCTAGACCCCACAAAAAGAAAAAAAATCTAGTGGGAGCCTTGGCCCACAGTCTGGGCTCTGCAGAGGTGTGGAAGATGGAGGGGAGAATTCGCAGGTCCTGGGCTCAGCTAGGCTTTCAGTTAGAAGCATGGCAATATTTTTTCCTCTCTCTCTCTAAATGTAGAAGGCTCCTGTTACATGCTTGGCCTTGAGAAGAACGGAAATGAAGCAAAGTGGAGGGGCAAGGTCAAGAGCATGACAGGCTTGGGGACAGGACACAGAAGTCCAAGGAATGAGGTAAATACCAAGAGGTCATCTATGTGGTGTGGCATGGCCAAGGAGTTGAGATTCAGGTGGGGGGTTAGAACATATCAGAACATTCAGTAACATCTGAGCACATTACAAGGTCACACAAATCACTTGCAAAACAAAGTGTGTCCTGTCAGTAAATAGATGAGGGTGTGGGAGTATTTGGTATTAGCACCACACTGCCAAGATCAACAGTTCATGTGCACAATTACTCATTAATCCTAACACCTATAGAAGAACATAAGAGCTAAGTACCAGGTACTGGAAGCCCCAGGACCAGTACTGTATTCTTGACAAAATCACCACCACCAGGCTGACATCCAAGGTGAGCCTTCTGAAGGAAATTGTTGAATGAATAAACAAATGATCAAAGACCTTCTGGTTCTTAGTGACATATCACCTCCTTCCTCTGCAATAGTTACTACCTAGACTCTACTAGCTCACCGAGGTAAGTGGATCATTATCTCAGCTGGGTACAGCTGGGATGGAGCAGGGACTTAATCCTAAGCATGTCTGCAAGAACCAGGTGAGTGCAGTGAGTTCATGAGAGATCTGAGTGTGAGAACTCTAGCAAATGGAGAATAGGAGTCATTTGAACAGGAACCAGCTGCTAGTCAACTAGAATCAAATTAGGATAAAGAAAAGATGCAAATTTGTGTTTTCAGTCAAGTAGCTTGTCATGGTCTGAATTTCTTTTCCCTCCATGCCCAGAATCCAGCATAATCGGCCTGGTATCTGCGTAGAGTAGAGGACATATAGGGAAACATGGTTTAGTAAGCCACAAAGCCCCTCCCCAAACTGCCTTTTGTGATGGACATGACATTGAACATGGTGATCTCTGTATTTAAAAGGAGAACACCACTGTTCCCCCAGGCAAGATGGCCAAAAGTGTCAGGTGTTAGGACACCCCCTTCCCCAATACACACTTCCTGCAGTTCCTTCTCACCTGTAGGCTAATCTCTGCCCTCAGGCCCTGGACCAGGCCTCAGGACAGCTCCTCCCCCAGCCTGCCAAGTCCCTGTGGCAGTCACTGATTCCTTGCCTGTTTGTTCTGCCAGAGGGGTGAGAGCACTGCACTGCGCTGGAATCCTGCCTCACCCCCTTCTGAACAGCTGCCTCCCCCAGCACATGAAAGCTGCTGAGCAAACAGAGAAATCAAAGATGGTTATAGGCTGCTAGAAAACCGTGTGTGCTTCCGCCTGGCTGCATCTGCCTGCCAAGCTGTTATGTAAGTCACAGACTCACTCAGGCCTGGACCCAAACAGATGCTTGTTGACAGCCCTTCCGTGACCCGCTCATCACCTAAGCTTCCCCAAACCCGGCCTCACCTGGAGTGCACCTGCCCCCGTGAGAGCCTTGCCCATCCTGCGGCTGACAAGCCACTTTTCTGTTTGTTTTGGGGTTTCCCTGTCTCTGCTCTCTTCCAGCACAGACACATGGGTGGGTCAGGGCCAAGAGTTGACTTTGGTCAGATTCCAAGTGACTAAGACATTTTTTTACTTTGGAAAACTCCATTTCACAATCCAGGGGAGATGGTTGTTTTTCAGCCTCCTAAGTGAATAATTCACTTCGGCTGTTTAGACACCAGAGCTGAAACGAGTAACTCCTGGAGCCCCCAGATGACCTCCTGGCTGGAAAGGGGCCTGACCGCGCCACTCTGATAACCAATACTTATTTCTATTTAGGTACCCTAGATATGTCCCACAGCCCAAGGCACCTAAACGGATTCAAAAAGGGCCTTTCTTCCAGCGTGTCCATGACTTGGTTAGATGTGTGGTTTCTGGACACTGCTGTCTTTCTCTCTGCAACACAGGGCTAGGAACATGGCAGATTCCAAATATCAGCTCCGCCCACATTCTTCATGTGCATGCATTCATGCATGCAGGTGTGTATTTGTTTTTGCCTCTGTGTGGAGTCCCTAGGTTGGTCCAATGTCTTCCACTATCTTGCTCCACTCTACATTGCGACAAGGTCTTGCCATTGAACTCAGAGCTCACATATGCCGCTTGTCTGGCTAGCCACGTTGCTCCAGAGACACCCCCCCCCCCCCCCCCCCCCCCCCCCCCCCCCCCCCCCCCCGTCTCCAAATTCTGGTCACTGGAAATACAGCTGGGCTGCCTCACCCTGAATTTACGTGGGTTCTGGGAATCCAAACTCCAATCCTCACGCTTGCACGGCAAGAATTTTTAACTGTTAAGCCATCCTCTTAGCCCCTAGATTCAGCATTTCCATTAGCATTGTTATCACATCTGAAATGAGCTCTCAGGCCCATTAGCAATGTAGAACTTAGACATTCGGACCTAACTGACACGGGGGTCCATTACCCTCCTTTTTGCAACCGGAGCTGGCCATAGCCCAGCATGAGTGCTCGATTCTCAAGCGCAGGGGTTTGAATTTTGGAGTGGGATATAACCTGTATTGGAAGCCATATGACCTTGTGCTGTAGCGTGAACCTTGCTGCATAATTGGCCTATCCTGTCTTCCTTTACCGTCTACATCACTTTATAATACACAGGCTTCCAAGGGGTCCCATTCTGATGCTGGCCAATGGCTGGCCATATCCACCCTTCACTTGTTCCATCCTGGAAAGGGTGAGTAGGAGAGCCTGTCCTGAGAACACTCTAGTATTAAGGAGTTTGCATCTTCAGGCTCATCTCTATTCTTGGCCCTCACCTCCCTCATTAACACAGGAAGTGAGGGGCTCTCACCAAACACCCACACAGCTGTTCAACTCATTCTCATTCTTCATGCATGGCCAAAGTGACCAGATTTAACAACTGAGGCAGAAAGCCCCTCCTAGGAAGACAGCCAGAAAGATCATGTCCCGAGTCCAGGCATTTTGAACAAGCTGAAACAGAAAGAAGGAATTGTTTTCTCTAGATCCTAGCCTGTAGAATATTTAACAGATCCCTAAGTCCACATAAGAGTAGATGTGTATGGGGGTACCCCATAAGCGCCACGGCACTGAGAGACACACTTGTCTGCTGCCCAAGAACTACTTTATTCAAGTACTGTATGGCACACTGAGATGCTGTGGAGGAGCTGCCCTCCCTTGGTTGCTTCTAAATTGGAGACCCCACCTCAGATCCTAATGCTCTTCTCAAGGAAGCTGCTCCCCACTGCACCTCAAGATGGCCTGCAGGTGGGAAATAAAAGATGAGCTGATGCAGCCCCTGCCGACTTCCAGGATGATAACTCCCTCATAGTGATCTGGGTTCTACACTAACATTTGGAAGACAAGACCAGTGTTGTCTGGACATGACCCTGGGACTGAGATGTTCTGAGTAGCTTCGCCATTGGAGGGGTGCTGGCCTCCTGCTTGGCTACACAGACTCCAAAAAGGGCCCCTAGAACTCCTCCTGGAGAGAGGCATGGAGAGGAAAATGCAGTGGAGTAATTTTGCTTAAAGAAAGGAGTTCATGAAGCATGCTCCCTCTAATGTGCCTAGGAGCAAGCTAGACTAGGCAGATAACAAGGAAAAGCTACACTGTTCAAATCACGTCTCCCTGTCCTCATTGGGGACCGTCAGGATGGGAAGTCTTCAGCTCCAAAGAACACTTTGGTGTGCCTGAGAATGAATGGTGTAGAAAGACTGGACTATTAGCCTGAACTTATGACAGCCTTCCGGAAGCCCTTTCTTTAACCTCAGACATTAAGTTTACAATCCAACCACTCTTGAGAGTTGGATATTAAGTAATAACATAAGAACAAGGAATCAACAGTCTCTCTCTCTCTCTCTCTCAATTTAGAGATATATAAACATTCCACTATACAGCTTAGGAACTTACACATTTAATCATTAACCATTGCCGCTCAGTTAAACCTAAACCATCGTATTATGTATAGTTAATCAATTACTTCTGGAAGGGTCTAAGAATCCAGAGATAATACATTTGGCTTTGAAGGATGAGTTTTTAATACATTTATTTCTTTATAGCAGCTTTAGATGTACATAAAAATGGCAAAGATGGCATTTCCTGTCGATGGCATCATAGTTGGATATGGTACATTTATTACAATTAACAAATAAGCGTGGATGCATTGTGATTACCTAAAGTCCATGCTTTAGAGAATGGGGTTTTATAGGGAAATAGAATTAAAATTCCAATGTCTTTTTTGGTCTGTAGTCTTGGGTATCAAACCCAAGGCCTTTCACATGCTAGGCCCACGTCCTATTACTGAACCATATCCAGGCGCCCTAATTTCTCAGAGGAATTGTGAATCAGACTTCCACCTGGCAGATAGAAAACCTTTGCTGAATTAAGCTTTCCCCTTTGGAACACTTACGGCTGTCTACTTCCCTGGATATCCAGGGAATATTAAATATTTTCTGGTCTAAAATCTGGATTGCTGTTGCAAAGAAGCGTTTTATAACCACAGTGGCATGAGATAGCCAAGAGTGGAGATTCTAGAATTAAATCACTTGGATCCTGGTTCTGACATTCTGAGCTGTTACTTTTCCAAAGCCATATTTTTCTTTTCCATCTACAAGATAGGAATGCTAATAGCATCTCCTTCATAGTGAGGACTTCCAGTGAGGAAGCACTTTCCACAGTTCCAAGCATACTGCAGTAAGGAAATGATGGGGGTGGCTTCTATCGGCTTCAGAGCCAAGGCCCTTCTGACCAGCCTTGCTCAACGAGCTAGTCAATGAGTGTCTAGATCAATTTAGTGAAAAATAGCTGTTTCAACAAATATCAGTGTCAAAGGTCAGAAGGGAGCAGAAAAATAGTTATATAAGCACAAACTTCATTGCTTGAGGAATTCTCTTCAAATTAGAAAAACAAGGCAATTATAGAGACTACTGACCTAAAAACCTGGGAGGAATTAATGACAGGTCTTTTCTGCTTTACCATTCTGCTTGTGGGATTAAAATGCCAGTGACTGTTTTGAGCCCCAGATATCTCTACTGAAGAAAAATGGTGTTTCATGGCTACTTAGGAACACTATGGAGAGCCACCCTACTGCCTGTCCCCCTTTCCTCTTTTTAGCACATGTTCTAATACTGCAGGTACATGGACCTAGTGCAATCATCAGGCATGTGGGTATTCATGCCTGGCCACACCTCTCATGCTCCATCCTTTCTGCCTAGGTGAACTCTCACAATTTCATCTGACTGATCTATTCTCAAGACTGAAGTCAGACATTACTTCCCTCAGAAAGCTTTGCCTTGATTAGCCCAAATATTGCTCTCTCCTTCACTCTGTGGTGAGTGTTGTTGGTGTCCAAGTTTAGCACAGTTCCCACAAGATGATGAGTGCTCAGAAAATCTCAGTGTCTTATCACTTACAAGTCAAGAGTCTTTGTGTTTTGAGATAGTGAATCCCTGTGTAGCCCATGCTGTCCTCGAACTCCCTATAGAGCACCAGCTTGCTTTCAACTCACGATCTCCTGCCTCTCACATGATGGGATTATAATTCTGTGCCCTTGTGCAAGGCCCAAGGGCTTTTCATTGTTCACTCAAACCCTGAAGTGGAAGCATCTTGGGAAGTACATGGATTTGGTACAGGTTACATATTGATAGCTGAGTCATGATGCAGCGGGTCAAAGGCTTCTCTTTGAAGAACACAGCTGAAGCCTTGTGGACGGAGTGGTACCGGGGATGAATGTGGGTGTTCGTTTCCAGGTTTCAGGGCATGAAATGTTGAGATACTTACTTCACAGTCTTCACGAGGCATCGAGAACTGTACTCACAAAACAAAAACAGTGACGACAGAACACTGCCGCTTGTCCTTTGTCCCATGCAAGTGCTCTGTGGTTTAAGCAGGTTCTCTGGGCTGAGGCTGTTCTAGGAAGGAGTTCCCATGCAGCCTGCTTCCTTTGACAGGTGTTTCACCTACCTGTCCCTGCCCACCTTTCTAAACCTGATGATCTTTACAATGGCCACATAAGTAAGATTTCTTCTTCGAGGTCACATCAAGTGTGGCCTTTAAAATTAGGATCCAAGCCCATGAGCAGGCTTCTAGAGTTTAAACAACTTCCTTCAGCATGGAGCATCTACTGGTGCTGTTGGCTTCATGCCCAGAGGATTGGCTCTCCCTGGATGTGGCTGAGCTGTCAGATCAGGTCTATGTCACATGTGCCATTTTCTCAGGCCAGAGAAATAGACCAGTGTTCTGCTATTGTTTAAGAAGTAATTTTAAATATCAAAATCATTAGTGTGTGTGTGTGTGTGTGTGTGTGTGTGTGTGTGTGTGTGTAGAGAATGTGTAAGCACGTGGTGGGGGAGGGGCAAGCATCTGCAGTGGTGTGCATGTGGAGGTTAGCTACAACTTGTGAAACGGTTCTCTCCTTCAGCCTTAATGTAGGTTTTGGGGATGGGACTCAGGTCCCCAGGCTCGTGTAATAAGTGCTTCTACCCACTCAGTCATCTCGCCAGCCCTCATTCAGGAGGTAGTTCATGTCCCCTGATTCTCTACCCTGTTCACCCCATGAATACCCCTGGTGCTGGGTAGGAAACAGGGTTCCAGGATGGGTAAGGAGGAATCTTCATATTCACTGTATTGTGACTTACCTACATCAGCATCCGTTCTGCACCTAAGGATTGAAGTAGAAATCTCAGTGGTAATAATGCCATGGGCTCAGAAGCTCTAGAGTAGACTTCAAAATCTCTCCATGTGGATACATACATTGGACAAGAGCGATGCATCTCCCTAGACAGATGAGTCCTTGCTGTTGTTTGGAAATTGATTTTAGCATAGAAGATTCTGTTATGATTTTTGTTATGTTCTTGGCATGTCACTTAGTTTGAAATGAAGCATGCACCATAAGACATTTGCAACTGTTTGATGACATGCCAAGCATGTCACAGTTTGTAAGTGAAGCCTGCACTAAATCTATAGCATCAGTGTGGAGACTCAGTCAAAGGGCATTTATACATTCTCTGGGTTTTCTTGCTCCAGCTGCATGTGTCTGGAAAGATGCTCCTGGATTCTGGAGAGCATCTGCCTTTGGGGAAGACATCATTATTTCCCTCGGACCAATCAGCTCGGACTGACAGCACTCCCGTCAAAGCGGGGAGGTAACACTAAGGTCAAATACATGATGATTCAGAGAGGAAAGCCCGGCAAACAGCGATGAAAACAGACAGCGGCAGCCGCTCCCTCTTGCTCTCTCTCTGGGAGATTAGTCTGTGGTTTTGGCACTAGACAACAACTTGGGGGAGAAAGCAAAGTTTATGGATATGGTTGCCTTTTCTCCTCTAAGCCAACCAGTGCCTTGTTTTTCTGTGAGCCTGCCACTGTGGGAAAATTGCTAGAGTGTAAAGTTTCCCTCTTTGTCCACAGCGTACTTCATTTACCAGGGAGCCAAGTTGGGAACAGAGCCGCCTCTCACACAGCCCATGAATGACTCCATTTTCTCAGGGCAGCCTCTGCCTGCCCATTGTTTAACTGTCATGGCCTCTTGTATAGGTGTTCCCTGCAGTCCAGGCTGTTATGTAACGCCTGGGCAGGGAACATCGCGTGAGAGAAAGAGAAATCAGAGGAAAATCCCAGAGGGCAACCCAGACCAAACTGTCTTCTTGGAGGGGGAAGGGGTACAGGGGAGAGGGAGGAAGGGAGGGAGGAAGGAGAGAGAAAGAGAGAGAGGAGGAGGGGAGGCTGATTTCATGTGTAAGCTTGACTGATAAACCCTGGGCTCTGGCATACAAAGCTGCCTGGGGCTGGCAGAAATGAATGCTTCTGTTTATATCCACAAGACAGGACATGCTGTACCCTCAGGTCAGTGCAGCTGTTACCTAGGTCCTCCCCCAAGACTCTGACAAGAAATCCTCCCCCTTTCCTTAAAGCCTAAGTGGAAAGGATATTCCCTCACCACAGGCTCTGCTGCGTTTCTTTCTCCTGCCACCTCACCGGCTCAGGGAGCCTCTGAATCCTGCCCGGTGAAGCACGCACCTGTGTCGATTTCCAGGCTGGCATGGTTCTCCAACAAGTCCGTTGTCAAAAGGCAGCCGTCGCTTGGCATCCATGAGTGCTGCCATTGTCTCCCATACCTGCATGTATTGCTGTGTCCTGAGAGTTTCCCATTGAGCTGGTTCGAGTGAGAAATGAGCCCTATAGGCTTGAGTAGTTGAACTCTTGGTTGGTGGTGCTGTTTGGGGAGCTTTAGGAAGTCTGTCACTGGGGGGTGGGGTGGGTGGGTTTTGAGAGATCATGGAGTCATCTCCCTTCCAGTCCACTGTCTCTGCTTTGTGCTTGCAATTGAAAACGTAATCTCCCAGCTCCCTGCTCCAGCTGACATGCTCGTTGCTCATTGCCATGTCTCCCTGACAGGACAGACTCTTGTCCCTCTGGAACAAAGCCAAAATAAGCTCTCTTCCCCATAAGTCACTGTGGGTCATGGTGTTTTAATCACAGCAACAGAAAGTAACTAATACGCACATCATCCCCTGGTCACGCTGCCAGTACTATGGTAGGATGAAGAGTGTGGAGGTGATACCCACACTGGTGTTTCCTTCAAGCTTGTTCTGTAAACTCAGAGTCCTGGCACCATTAGGACAGACCTTGTGGTGAGTAAAACTGGATTCCACATCTGGATATTTTTGGTGACTACGGCACATTCTCTTCCATTCTTAGAAAGTCACAGTCATGTTGTATAAAAACACCCTGATGGATTTGCAGGAAAGAAACCTGAACCACTCCCATGTGCCATTCAACTATGCTTCACAATCCCTGGAAACAGACACTTCACTTATATTGGTCTTAGTTGAATTTGTTGTTCACAGTTCCATTATGGGTGTTTGATCAATGTGTTGAATTAAACAGAAACACATTTAGTTGAGTCTTTTTTTCCCAAGCTATATGTATTAACTCTACAGGACTAGCATCTCATACAAAATACTGTTTTAGTTAAGTTTCTATTGCTGTGATGAAACACCAAGACCAAAAGTAACTTGAGAAGAAAGGATTTATTTCTGCTTATCATTCCCATCACAGTCTACCATTGAAGGAAACTGGGGCATGAATATAAGGCAGGAACCTGGAGGCAGAAACTGAAGCAGATGCCCTGGAGGAACACTGCTTACTGGCTTGTTCCCCATCACGTGCTCAGCCTGCTTTCTTACACAACCCAGGACCACCTGGCCACACATCAATCATTAATTAATAAAATGCTCCACAGTCTTGCCCATAGGCCAATCTGATGGGATATTTTCTCAACCGACGTTCCAATGACTCCAGCCTGTGGCAGGGAGCCTCTGAATCCTGCCTGGTGAAGCACGCACCTAATAGTCCCTTTGATTCACTTTGTCACCACCTCAAGTGTCTTCTTGGGGTCCCCATAGAAGAGAGTAATCTTTCATTTGTAGACTGTCTTTCAGTTGACAAAATCCTCTCCAATATGTGTCACCTCACATAATCCTCATCATGAGTCTCTCTCTATAGGCTCAGTTATAGTTTTACAGATCAGAAAAATCGTCACTTAATGACCAATTCAATGTAGTGCCATCAAGGGTCACAGGATGGACTGGCACCCAGGTGTGGCTTTAGAGACAGCCCTCTGCTCACCATCTCACCAGGGCTGACATATGGGTGACTTTGAGGCAAATATGAGGGAGAATTCCCTCCTCTGGGTCTCACAGGACCTGCCAACAACATTGCCATTCTATATCCACTTATGATTTTGCATAGCAAGAAAGATGCCTGGAGAGAATGAGAGAAAAGGTGGGAGAGAAGATGGAGGAAAGACAGGGAGAATGGACCAACTCACCCCCAGCTTCATAAGCCAGTTTTTGCCTTGCTCCCTGACCCAAGGGTCCCCTTTCCAGGATAGTGGACCATGGGAGTCTATGCCCTGGTCCAGTAACAGCAAACATAAATGTTCAATGAATCATTCAGGAGCACAGTCTATCATACCCAAGAGTGTTAATGATTTTCTTGCATTGCCCATGAGTAAAATACCCCCAGAAAGCTCTAGGAAGGCCTGTTGGTAGTTCAGGATTTATTAAGAAATGTGCACACACACACACATACACACACACACACACACACATACACACACACACACACACACACACACACACACACACACACACACACAGAGAGAGAGAGAGAGAGAGAGAGAGAGAGAGAGAGAGAGAGAGAGAGAGAGAGAGAGAGATGATCAATGTGGTTGTCACTTTTAGAACTCACTCTCTCTATATAGTGTAGTATATAGTATATGCATGTGTGGTGCACATGTATAGCATACGGAAGTCAGAGGAGAAATTTTGGCGTCTTTATTTTTGAGACGAGGTCTGTCACTGAACCTGAAGGTCACTGCTGTTTTGACTGAGCTAGCTGTCTAGTGAGCTCCCATGGTCTTTCCGTCTCTGCTCTTTAATACTGGGGTTACAGGCATGTGTAGCACTGCCTGGCTCTTCTGTGGGTGCTAGGGATTTTAATTCAGGTCCTCTTGCTTCAGCAGCAAGCATTCTTACCTGCTGAACCCCCTCTCCATCCCCCTTAGGACTATTCTTTATAACACCCCACAAGAAACGTTTCAAACCTAAAGAAAAAGTCTAGATGACCTAACGAGAAGCATGCCTTGCTTTGTAAATCATAGACTCTGCAGACATGTTCATGGAGGAATGAAACTGGAGCCAGATGAAAAAACTGGCAGAGCAATGGAAGATTAGCAGGAGGAAGAGGATATGAATGAAGTGCAATGTGTGTGTGTGTGTGTGTGTGTGTGTGTGTGTGTGTGTGTGTGTGTGTGTGTTTGGTTCCTAGGACCCACATGGTAGGAGGAAAGAACCACCTTCTTTAAGTTGTCTTCTGACCTCCACATGCATGCTATGGCAAGTAAGCAACCCCCCCCCCCCCACACACACACACCACACACACAATAAATGCATAAATATAAAGAGTAAAGCATAATAGTATGAGAGAAAAATAAGTTTAAAAAATAAGAGGAAAAAATCATAATGACGCCCACTATTTTGTATGCTAATTAAAAGTCAAAACAAACAAACAAAAACCAACAAGCACTCTATTACCACCAGGGTCCAGAGTTGAAGGCCCTCTGAAATCACAGGCTCCAAGGGCAGCACCATGGACAGTCACTCACCTGTGCTAGAGAGCTCAGGCTGGAAGCATAGGAGGAGCAGGGAAGGGGGAGAAAGGTCTCTGGCTGGAGAGTCATGCACTGTGTGGAAACCATGTTCTGTGTAGTTAGTAGTTGTTTGTTTGTTTGTTGACTCAGTAATGGATTTTTCTACCCTCTAGTGTGAAGGCACCAATCATAAATATCCTGTCATGTTTCCAGTGTGTGCTGTTAACATACTCCTGAGTGGGGCCATCCTGGAGCATGGTCCACCTACTAGCAGCCATGCCCTTAAGGAAAGCTGACTCTCTTTTTTCCAGACGCCATTGGCTGTCCATAGCTCCTCAGTTAGGGATGGGGCTCATGAACCACTTCCTACTCTGTGTTAGAATGGGTGGCCTGATCTTGTAGAGGTTGCAGGCAACCACAGCTACTGTTAGTTCTTCATGGGGGTAGCGACAACCAAAGTCCTTAGATGATGGGTCTTGGCTCCATGTGGAGTTAGCTAACTGAATGCGGAGGTTGTGGAAAATTTGCCGACAGTGAATGGTTTCTAAATGCATAACAACAACAACAACAACAACATCAATTCAAAATCTAATGTGTAATGAATCTAAGGCGTTTCTGTCAGTGACCGCCCATGTTGCACTGTGTCGCTTCCCCTTGGTCTGGAACAAAGGACAGACACACCTTCACTGTCCACGCTGCTATGCCCCTCGGTGCCAACCAACACTGCCCAAAGCACCTCGGCTCAGACTGGAGACTAGTGTATGTTATGAAATGCTATGAAGTGAAATGTTTGTGCTGTACTGATATATTTTTTCTGCTCATATAGAAATAAAGTCATTTCATTATGGAGGACAAAGACTTTTACCATTCCTAAGCATGTAATTATCAAATTCAGATATATTTAGATTATGTTGTTATTAGAAGGTTTGATCTTAAAAATGGTTATTTGAGTTACTGAGTGTCGTTAAAAAAATTATTAAATGAATTTTGACTTGGGATTAATTAGGTCAGGATTTCCATCTGAAGTTGTCCTATTCATATTTCTGCTAATTTGTATTACATAAATTATGTAAACTGTCATTCTTAATTATGAAATTGCAATACTGATGAACTCTGAAAAACATTGAAGACACTCCAAGTCCTAAAAGTACCAAATATTCAGCCATTAATTATTTGAAACAAATAGGCATATCTGCCTCATTAGTATACAAATTTGCTTTAGTCTTTAATAAATGGTAAGATTATAAGTATGCAAAGGAATTATTTTGCAATAAATTTCTTTATAATTTATTATCAGTGTTTGATTTGTATAACTGTTTTAGATAGATAGGTAGGTAGGTAGATAGATAGATAGATAGATAGATAGATAGATAGATAGATAGATATAGATACATATCCCCAGAATTGCATAAAAACTTCTTGGGCTAAAGGGTCATGAATGGAAGTGGTAAAGAAACTTTGTCTAGACCACATCAATTACTCTTTACGTCTTCTGTCTTCCTCCAGCCTCCCAGGAGCCCTGAAAAATGGCTTGTGTTATTTTCATGCAGTGGACTTTACACACAGTTGAAACCCTCTGGACTTAGTGTTCCACTGCACAATCCAAGGACACATCTAGAATCTAAAAAATTCTACCTTTTATTTTCCTCAGAAAAGGCATTAAATATTAAATAATGCCTTTTAGGCCTGAACTCTGATAATTGAGGCTACCACCCCTACATATTCCTGCATGAAAATCCCATACCAAAACAGAGTGGCGTAAAGTCACATTTATTATGTTCATAAACCTTCCCTTTCAGTAGAGTGTTAAAAGAACAGCTTGTCTTTGCTAACCATATCAGGTGGAGCTGCTCTAACGCTCCAACGAGATATTTGAGTACATGAGCTTTGGAGGCCCCAGCACGCACCCTCTGTCTGCCGTTTATAGCTGCAGATGCCGAACTTCCTCTCCTGTCCTGCCCTTTCCCTCCTCCCTTCTTCTTTCCTGCCCTCCCCTCCTCTCCTTCCTCCTCTTCTCTTCCCCTCCCCTTCCCTCTCCTATTCCTTTCCACACCCCCTCCCCTCTCC